CCTGTCCTAGAACGGAATGGGCATGAGTGTTTACTGTGGAGTCAGACATCTCTTGTATCAGTTATCCTTTGCTGCGTAACAAATTACCCCAAAACTTCACAGCTTAAAGCAACAAGCATGTATCATCTTGTGGTCTCCACGAGTCAGGAATCCAGGCACAGCACAACTGGGTCCTCTGCTTCAGAGTCTCTCCCAGGCTGCAGTCAAGGTACCAGCCAGGGTCACTGTCATCCTGTGTCTCCCCTGGGGAAGAATCGACTTCCAGGCTTAGAGTCATGCAGTGGTGGCTCGATTCCATTCCTCCTGGGCTGTAGGGCCAAGGGCCTCAGTTGCTCTATGGCTCTCGTGGCCAGAAGCCACCCTGGCTTCCTTGTCTCACTGGCTTCATCAGAGTGAGCATGTGAAAAGCACGAGATAGAGTGCAAGCGAGATGGAAGGCACAGTCTTCTGTAGCCTAATCTCAGAAGTGACATCCCATCATCTTTACAATATTCTGTTGGTCTGAAGGAAATCACTAAATACAGCCGCCCCCAAGGGGAGGGAACTGACTACACAGGTGTGAATCCCAGGAGGAGACGATCACTGGGAGTCATAATAGAAGTCAGCCTGCCGCATCCCTGAAGTTGAATTCCAGCCTCACTGCTTAGCCGCACCTGTGTGCCCTTGGGCTGGTGGCTCTCCCTCTCTGAGTCTCATGGTCTGTGAGCTGTCAGGACACAGTGTGTAAAGGACATTAGCAGTGCCCGGCAGGGCATTTGTGCTCGGTGAGGGACAGGGCCTGTGGTCGTTACCTGTACCCCTCGCCTGACTACATCCACCTGGACTCGGCCTGGCTGCTTCCTTTGTTCGCAGCTCATGCTGAACATCAAGTGCTGGGCTAAGAGATGCCCGTCTCCCATCCAGAGCCTCCTCTCTCACATGGAGGTTAGCTGCTGTGGTTGCAGGAGCTCTTGACCCACGCCCTCACTTTACCCACCTGCTCCGAGCCTTGGAGCAGGACTTGGGAAGTCTGGATGGAACTCAGGGGAAGGGGAGGGTGGCCCATCCGACCCCACGGGCTCCAACAGCTAATGACCCAGCACCACCTGCCTTCCCCACTGACCGTAAACCCACCCAATCCTACACTCCCCAGCCCAGAAGGAGCCCCTCCTTCCCCTCCCTCTGCAGGGGCTCATCCTTCTCTCCAGATGCTGGAAGTGGGTCCAGGATTGTGACCTCCTCCAGCCAGCTCCCTGGATTAATGTGTGTTCTGTGCACCTCTTTATTTGGCAGTAGATTCCATCCTGCCTAATTCTTTGATGGAGAGACTGTGGGCTCCTGGAGGACAGGGACCAGGTCTTCACCATCCTGGTATCTCCAGAATCTCCCACCTGACCTACCTGGGAAGGCATTCCTTTGTCAGCTGCACGTACAGAGTCCCTACTCTGTGTAGGCTTTAGGGCCGGGCAGTGGGAACACAACGAGAGTTGCCTCATGAAGTTTACCACCCAGAGGGCAGGGAAATTGGTAAATAAGCAGTTAGAAGAGTGGTTCTCAAAGTGTGACCCTGGTGTTCCCTTTCATCTTCTTGTGTTTTCAGTAGATCTTGGTTTCAGTGTCTGCTACCCTGAATACAGCCAGATTTGACCCACAATGTACAGATCTCTTCGAGATCATCAGTGATTTTTAAGGCTGTAAAGGGGTCCTGAGACCAAAATGTTTGAGAATTACTGAATGACACGTGTGAGAGCCTCAGTGAACGTTTTTCTGAATGAAGGAGTGAAAAGCTGCTCATTTCCTGTTCACCTGACCCGAGTCTTGAGCATCATGCGAACAGGGATCGTATCGCTTTGTTCTGTGTAAGTGCCTCCTTTTCCTGGGGGACACAGAGAAGTCTCATTCATTCGTGGAGCAGACCCGTACTAAGCATCTGCCACACGCTCAGAACCGTGTTGGAATCGTGGCCCCCTGCCCCTCCAGAAGCCCCTTAACCCAGTGAACAAGACAGAGGAGTTTGCAGAGCCTTCCGGCGGCGTGAGTGTGATGCTGTGAGAGAGGTCTTCCCCAGGAGGGCTCTGAAAGTGGAGGTCACAACAGCACTTAGATGTGTGCAGGAGATACAGTGAAGGGATGGGGGGACGGGGAACGGCACACAGGGGAGGTGTGACTGCTTGGGCTGAGTCTTCTGAAAGAAGTAAGCGTCCACCAGCCAATAAGGATGGAGAAGGGGCCCCCTAGACAGACATCACAGCTTGCCCAGAGACTTAGCAGTACGGGTGAACTCTGCATTGCTCGTCATCTGGTGTGTCCGTGACATTGGCTCCCTGGGGCTGGGGGTGATGAGGACGAAGGAGGGAAGACACCATTATGGGGGGCCTTGACTGCCCTGGGTGGGAATCTAGAGAAGCTGCTGGACCTGCTGACCCCTAGGTCCCGCCCTTCTGACCATGTTGAGAGTCCAGGCACAGCCTTCAAGGCTCTGTGTGGCCTGCTCACCTCCTGTCACCCACTCCCCTACACTCTTCTGCCGTAGCCACATTGGCTGTCCTTGAGGGCCTTCAGTGCCTTCCCATCCCAGGAGCTCCATGAGGCTATTTCCTTCACCAGGAATGTTCTATCCCCACCCCCCCTCTCTTCACCCAGTCAACTCCTAAACATCCTTCAGGTCTTAACACAAGTGTGCCCACCTCCAGGAAGCCTTCCTGGGCTACCCCCTGGATCAGACCGGTCCCCATTGTATAGAGCCTCGTAGAGCTCTCCTTTAGAGCACAGTTTACAATTAAGTACCCAAGAATGCTAGGTGCTAGGAATGGGTTTACAAGAAGCTTAAGTCTGGTGTGGAGAGACAGATAATAAATAATAAACAGTTATAATGTAAGAATAACTATTACTATGTAATAGCCAACATTTATAGAACACTTACCATTTGTTAGGCATTGTTCTAAGTGCCTTTTTTTTTTTTTTTAAGTTTATTTGTTTTGAGAGAGAGAGCAAACAGGGAGAGGGCAGAGAGAGAGAGAGAGAGAGAGAGAGAGAGAGAGTGAGAATCCCAAGTAGAGCCCCGACGCAGGGCTCGAAGCAGAGCTCAAACTCACAAACCATGAGATCATGACCTGAGCTGAGATCAAGAGTCAGATGCTTGGGACACCTGGGTGGCTCAGTTGGTTAAGCATCTGATTTCTGCTCAGGCCACGATCTCGCGGTTTGTGAGTTCAAGCCCCGAGTCGGGCTCTGTGCTGACAGCTCAGAGCCTGAAGCCTGCTTTGGATTCTGTGTCTCCTCCTCTCTCTGTCCCTCCCATGCTCATGCTCTGTCTCTCTCTGTCTCTTGATAATAAATAAACGTTAAAAAAAAAAAAGAGAGAGTCAGATGCTCAAACAACTGAGCTACCCAGGCACCCCTCTAAGTGCCTTTTTAATTTAAAGTTTTTTAAATGTTTGTTTATTTTTGAGAGAGAGAGCAAGCACGTGGGTGAGTTGGGGAAGAGGCAGAGAGAGAGAGGGACAGAGGATCTGAAGAGAGCTCTGCACTGACAGAAGAGAGCCTGATGTGGGGCTTGAACTCATGAACCATGAGATCATGATCTGAGCCGAAGTCAGACGCTTAACCGACTGAGTCACTCAGGCGCCCCTCATTTAAATGTTTTAACTTTTTAAGAAGCACTGTATCTGGATTTTCCTATTATCATTTTAAATTATCAATTTTATTTTGAAACATTTCAAACTATGGAGCTGAAGGATATAATGGACAGCCGCCTTTTTAGCCTTCCTCTACATTCACTAATCATTAACATTTTACCACATTTGCCTTGATGTAAATTTTTTTCCCCTTAACCAGTCGAGAATAATTTGGTGACATTTTGATTCTTCCTCCCCAAATATTTCAGTGTTCATCTTTGAAAAACAAGAACATTCTTTCTCATAACAGTAATTCCACCATCACACCCAGGAGATTTAAAATTGATGTAAAATATTATCTAATATATAGCATATATTCAGATTTCTCCAGGTGTCTTCAGACTCTCCTGCATAGCCATGATTTACCCCTCATCCAAGCTCCAACTGAGATATGTAGACTGCCTACAATTGTTATGTCTGAGCATTTTTAATGTTAATCAGTCTTCCTCTGAGTGGACTACTATTAGGCCCATTTTACAGATGAGGAAACCGAGGCAGTGGGAGGTTAAGTCATTTGTCCAAGTTATATGGCCAGAAAGTGATGGAACTCATTGATATTTCCAGTCTCCCTGCCTTTCTACTAACCCCTGAACTCTGTTCTCAACCCAGTGCCTAAAGGGATCTTCTAAAAATGCAAATCCTGGGGGCATCTGACTGGCTCAGTCAGTGGAGCGTGCGACTCTTGATCTCAGGGTTGTGGGTTTGAACCCCACGTTGGGTAGAAGTTACTTAAAAATAAAATATTACAAAAAAAAAAAAAAGATAAATCCTGCTCAGGTCACTCTTCTGCTCAAAGCCCTACCATGGCTCCCTATTTCTCTCTGAATAAAAGCAAAAGGCTTCATGATGCCCACAGAGCCCTGTGCATTTTGCATACCTTCCCCATAGCCTCTCTGACCTCATCTCTCCCTCCCACCCTCCACTCCCAGGCTCAGCAGCACAGCAGGCACTCCTGCCTCAGGATCTTTGCACGTGCCATTTTCTCTGCCAATAGCACTCTTTTCCTAGAGATCCTCGGGGCTCAGTCTTCACCTTCCTTCAGGTTTTACCCAAACGTGGGTATTCAGCGAAGTTGTCTTGGGCCCACCACTCTGAACACAGCAGCCCTCCCACGCGCTCTCTATCTCCTCCCCCTGGCCTTTTCATCTCAGCCCTTACCGCTGCCGTCCGCTACATTTTGGGGTTTCCTTTGGCCAGTTGTCTCCCTGACTAGAGTGCAAGCTCCACGGGGGCAGGAGTTGTCTGTTTTGTTCACTGCTGTGTCTCCAGCTCCTAGGACCGAGGCGGGCACACCGTGGACACTCAGTGAAGTGTCCCCAGTTGTACTGATTGCTGTCCCTGCAGCACGTGTTCTGTGAGGAGTGCCTCTGCCTCTGGCTGGACCAGGAGCGCACCTGCCCGCTCTGCCGCTCGGTTGCCGTGGATACCCTGCGCTGCTGGAAGGACGGGGCCACTGCAGCACACTTCCAAGTGTATTAGGGCAGAAGACTGAGGCACCCTGGGAGCTGACGGATGGCCAGCGTGATCGGTCCGGCTCTGGGGACTTACTGGAAAACAGGCCTCAAGCACTGACTCTCCTGCCTCCTGCCTTTCTCCCCCTCTTCCCCCAGAGCCAGGCCCCTATCCTCCCGACCTCCACCTTCCTCTTCTGTTCTGCGGCTTAGCGTGGGCGTTCTTTCCTTCAACCCTCCTCGCTCAGACTTGGCCTCCTCCCGGGAGGGTCTCCTGCCCCCTCCAAGTGAAGGAACCGGGGATAGGCAGGTCCTGCCTGTTGTGATTTTAACTCACGGTGGCCTAACACCCGATGCTGCAAGCTGGAAGGGGCCTGGAGATCACTGCATCCCCCCAACACGGCTCAGGTCTGCAGATGGGCGTCACTGTGGAGCATTTCCCAAGTGCGAACGCTGGGCCCCTTATACCTGCAATAGCTTAGTGTCCCAAGCACTTCGTGCGAGCTGAGCATCTGCTTGGATGACCTCTGGGAATCGTCACAACAGCCCTGGGGTGGAGGTACTGTCGTTTGCTCTGTTTTACAGACGGGGAAACTGAGGCACAGAGCTCCACGTGGTAGCTTTCCCAGGGTCACCCAGCTAGCAATGGCAGACGGAGTTTCCAAACAGGCCTGTCTGGCTTCAGAGCCCACACTCTCAACCACCATATGCTCACCCGCTCAGACACGGCAGGCGTGGGGCCCAGCAGGCTTGGTGTGTGTGGGTTGGTTGGTTGGTTGGTTGGTTGGTTTTTTAAGCACCAGAGGTGATTTTGATTCCCATCAGTGACCCAGGTGCATAGCACAGTGATCTGGGCCCCGCTGAGGATGCCAACGGTGAGCAGTGGCCCTGGAAATCTAGCTGTGGCCAAGTTCATGGAAAGAGTTGGTCTTTAAAATTGCTCATTTGCCGGGCTGGAATGCTCAGTCACATTTGGGTATCAAGAATGGCCAGCTTTGGTCCCCATGCAGGTATCACTGGGTCTCCACACCTGTCTTCATGTCTCTCCTCCTCCTCCTGTTCTGGTCCTGCCCCTCACTTAAGTCTCCGCTTGTCAACAGCGCCTGTGGCCATTGTCTTCTCCCCCGGTAGCCTTGAGAACAAAATGAATGATCCATGTTACAGATTTGTCCACAAGCCAGGGTGGTGGCGTGGAGCACTGCAGCCCTCGGCGCTTCTGGAACATCTATACCAGAGCTACTAATCTCTGTAAGAGAACAGTTTCTCCACCTGTGAGACCCTCCCTGCTTTGAATCTGGAAGGAGGTAGCACAGGTGATCACTTAGAAGCTACTGGAATCTCGCCTGCCCTACCCCTCTCCCCATTCTGTTCACTCGCCGTCAACCTCAGCACAATGGGCTGGTGCCAGTGGCGTTACAGAGAAATCAATCTTGTGGCTCGTGAGCAGATGAGCAACAAAGCCCCAAGCAGAAATGGTGGGAGACTTTGCTGCCACCTCGCTCTCGGCCAGTAATAACAAGCCCACCCCATCCCTGATAGTTGCAGGACATTTGCCCCCGCGTGCTATCAAGCCAGGACCTTTTCCTGTGCCTGGCATCCCTGGCTCTTCCCCGGGACCCAGCAAGACGTCCCTTCCAGGGCAGCGTGGCATCTTTCAAGCTCTGTTACTATGGCGATGGTGGCGGCGTTACAATCCCACTTGCCTGGATAATCAAGTCCGAAGGGGAAGCGGAGGGAAGTAGGGCCGGGGGGATGCGGCTGCTCTGCTCCCCCTACCTTCAGCAAGAGCCAGAGGGAAGCAACAGGAGCTTCTGCGACTGGTTTTTATCAGAAAGATCACCCTGCCTGCAGATGCCATCAAAGAGACACAAGAGATTGGAGCTGGAGATTTATTAACAGGCCAGCTTGTGACAGAGCAGGCAGAGCAGAATTCTGATTCCAAACTCTGCGTGACTTTGGGAAGTCACTTCGCCCCCCAGTAGCCGTCTCCAGGATAAAGAAACCTCGTGCACTTTCTGCCGCAGCCGGGGAAACTAACAATGTAGAACACTGGTGGAGGGGCCAATGGTTGTGTCCGTTATACTCATGCCACCAAAAAAAAAAAAAAAAAAAAAGAAAGAAAAAGAAAGCCCCCACATCTCTAAATATTATTCTCCAAATAATGAGCCATGCTTCTGACATTATAAACAGTGTCACTTGGGGATACCAGGGACAGGTGGGATGATTTCGTTTAGGATTTTACTTCTTCATTCCCTACCCTCTGGGGAAAAGTTCTGTTCTGGAGGTTTTCTTTTTTTAATTTTCTTTCTTAACGTTTATTCATTTTTGAGAGACAGAGAGCAAGCGGGGGCGGGGCAGAGAGAGAGAGGGAGAGGGAGAGGGAGACACAGAATCGGAAGCAGGCTCCAGGCTCTGAGCTGTCCGCACAGAGCCCGACATGGGGCTCGGACTCACAAACGGCGAGATCATGACCTGAGCAGGAGCCGAAGTCCGACGCTTAACTGACTGAGCCACCCAGGTGCCCTGGAGGTTTTCTTTTGGATGGGAGGATCTAACTTCTACCCTAAGGAGAAGCAGCAGCCAGTGAGGAGTTTTCCAAACATCAGGCTGCCTATTTTCCCCACTATGGGGTAAAAGCAGCCAAAAGTCGTTGTTGGGAAAGAACAGCTTCATTCTCCATGGCCCATCCTGGCTCTGCACTCATTGGTTAGAAGCAGGATTAAGCGAGTAGCAGGTTGGGGTATACTACTTTTAATATTTTGTGACCCACTGACTGAGGTTTCTGACACTCTTGGAAATGGCCGTCTTAATGTAAAAGATCTTGAGCATAATGAATGTGAGAATAGGAAGGCGAGCTTTGGACCTGGATGTGAGAGGCTCATTACCTTCATAACGGGAGAATGGGAGACATGCTTGGAGACACCAGGCGGCTAAGACTTGGGGTTGGAAAGAAGAAATGTAAAGCGAGTCCCAGAATCTCTTAGTAATTTTGCTCTGGGCTGAACAGAGCCACCTTCGGTGTTTTTAATGTCCCCTTAAGTTCCCTTCCGCCAATAAATATCATCTGTCGATGAAACTTAGGTTCGTGGTCTTGAGTCTCCAGTTGCCTCTTGAACCCAGATGGACTGTTTTGAGGAGAAATGGGGAGAAGCAATTCATGCAGTGGGTGTTGTCTGGATCTGTCCAAAGCAGATGCGTTGAGTTGCACGTGATTTATTAAGGACGCACTCTCAGGAGAAACCAGTAAGGGAGGGGGAAGAAACCAAACAAGAGGGTGGCTGTCAGAGAAGTCCCAGCTCAGGGTGGTCCCACAGAGTTCTGGAGAATTCAGCTACATTTCAGAGATTGTCCCACCCTGAGGTTTTTTTCTGGCACACTGTCAATTCTTGGCTATGGGTTGTTGGCGGGGGTGGGGGTGGGGGGTGCTTCTTAGGTACTTAAGCTCTCCATTGAGGAGGCCCCAAGCCCCTGAAGGTGTCAGGTGTCACAGAACACGCAAAGGTGCAGGACAGGACACAGAGCTGGGAGATCGGGTCAGGAGGGATCTGGACAGGGCACCTACAGGGCCCACCACAGTGGTTAACCAGAGGATAGACCCAGAACGCATGAGCTGATGATTCAAGAAGAGTTTGCCTGGATGCCAGCTTATGATGGATATTTAAAATGCAAATTAATAGCTTAACTGACTGAGCTGCCCAGGCACCCTGGAAATTAATAGCATTAGGTGACAATTCATGCCTCTCAGGACAACATTATGAAACCAGTCACAAAAACATCATCAGGCAGATCTTTTTGGTTGCCATCGTTTGAAAACCAACTCAAACATGGCTTAAATAAGAGAAAGGCTTTCTTTGGCTCATGTAGCCATATGGGCCTTGGGTATCGCTGGATTCAGTGGCTCCAGTGACATTAGAACCCTGTCTTTCCATCCCTCCATTCTGTTTTCCTCTGAGACAGTTTGATTTCCAGACAGATCCCATGCAGCAGTAAGACGGCCTCCAGAAGCTATGTGTGTATGTATATGCATATGTATACGTATATGCCTATGTTCTACCAGCTTAACAACCCCAGCAAAGAGCTTCTGATTCCCCAAAGCTCTAGCAGGAGTCCTGAGGTTGACTTGCTAATTTGTCCCCACACCAATCCCTTTTAGCCTTTGGGACCTGGAACACTGCTGGCCAGGCCTGCCTCAGGTGTAGAGCCCTAACTGTGGGGACACAGGTGGGTGGAAGGATAGGGTCAACTCCTCTGAGTTGCATGGCCTGAGAGTGGGGAAGGGGTGGGTCCCCCAGGGAAAATGAAGGTGCCTGTTATCTAGAAAGGCAACCTGTCCTCAACCCACCATTCTTAGGAAGAAACCACAACCTGATAGCTCAGAGCATCTTAGACCAGGTAAATGTAGGTGAAAGTAACCCAGAGAGGCCATGTGCCCATAGTAGGAGACCTCAGTCTGCACAGCCATCAGCTTGTCTGCATGGTGCCATTGATCTTGAGCCGTCAGGCAAGTTCCCTCAACCTCTCACCCAACCCAAGGGTACTGTTTGGGCCAATCCTCCCCTTGGGGAGTTCTCAGAAATACAGCAGAGAAGGGAGATGTGTGGCCTTCTGCCCCAGGGAAGGTTGGGGTGCACAGCCAGATCCTCCCATAATCTTTGGGGACCAACCTTTCAAAAGGAAATGAAAACGCAAAGGACTTTGGCTGGAAGTGCACAAACAGTTTTTTAATAAAGTCATTACAAATATGTACAAAGCGTCTCCAAGGTATGAAATTCCTCTTACAAAAGAGCACAACAAACCAGCAAGGTTAGAGCCCAGAACGGAATGCTCCCAAACTTATTGCCTCTCTGGCTGAGCCAGAGGCCTCACTGAGGTTCCAGACACCCCCATGACCATCCCTGCCACATACACACACAGGCTCCTGGGCACTTACAGTGCAAAGAACTTGGGGGGAGGAACTTAAGGGTTCAGGTAGGGGAGGTAAGAAAAGCTTCCCATGTCCTAGGAAGTCAGCTGAACAGGCCCTGTTTGCCAATTAGATGCTTCTCCCAGGGACCTATAGATATTAAGGACACAAAAGGCAGGGAACAAATACATAAAACCCCCACCTAAACCATCCAGCCTGTCCTGGAGCATCCCCCAAATGCAACACTCCTTACAGTGGACCTAAGTCAGGCTCCCTTGCTCCCTGCTGGACCCCAGGCTGTGCTTGTCCTTGAACTAGTAAGGCCAGCTCAGGAGGGAATCCAGTGTGGCAGGGCAGTTAGCTCATGGGCTTGGGGGGGGGGGGGCGGGGGGGGTCACACACACCTGAGTCCAAATCTTGGCTCAGCCACCTCACTCTCTGTGTGTGGCCTTAGGCTAAGTTGCGAAACTTCCCTGAGTCTCAGCTTCCTCAACTGTAAAATGGGAATCATAACTACTGTCTTCCAGAGTGGGTGTGAGGAATAACTGAGGGGAAACACGTAAAACACTCAGCACAGTGCTCAGGGGTGGTGAGCACGCCGTAGACGGTGGCTTTCATTACTCTGTGAAGCAGCAAGAACCAGTCTTTGCGTGCTGGGAGCGAGTTAAGATCACAGGCTTTTTAATTGCCTTCATGATAGTATGATGCTCAGTAAATATAAATACTATAGAACAATCTGCCAGCAAGGCTTGGGATCACGGGTATGACCTGACAGACCTGACTGTGAACCAGACTGGAAAGGGACAGTTAACATTGTCTGGTGCCAAGCGGAACTGTCCCTCCACGCTGCGTACCTGAGTTTCTTCCCAGACCGGATTCTACAACTGGGCACGCTGCAGGTGCTCCATAAGTTAGGTATTAGTATTTTAAAAAGAACCTTTTGGTTTGAGCTTTAAAATGGTACCTTTGACACCCATATCCTCCATCAGCTCCTATGGGACTAGGCCAGGGTGTCTAGCCTGTCCCCCCCACCCCCCCGCACCACCCAGGCAGCTTCTGACTCTGCAGTTGGCCCAGGCTGACTTAAGGGAAGATCCAGAAAAAGAAATGGAATCAACACAGAAGAGCAAAACCTGTGTTCTGGTCACTGCAGCTTCTGATACCAGGCGGACACTCAAAACGCCCACAGTGGCAAACCAGTGTCCCCAAAAGATACCTGTGTGGGATCAGAAGAAGACTCCTCCAATTTCCCAGCTAGGGGAAGTGATATTTTATCACTGTCAGAAACGTGATAATAGTACATGAGATCAGCTACATAAATTATGAAACCAAAGTCACAGTTCCATCGTTCTGTGACAGTATTGTTTAAATCACCATCTTCTTGTTAAAAGAGGAAAGAATTTCTTAAATGAGACACTGGAAGAAGTGGAAAAGAAGTCTCCAGTATCCCAATGAAAGGGGGCGGGAAGGGGGAGACTGGGTTCCAGGAGATGCTCGTGGCCTAGGACCATGGACAGCAGCTAGAGAGGCAAATGGGCTTCCCCCCCCCCCCCCCCAGAAACCTGCTACTCAGGCTATGTCTGTGCCAGAAGGAACGTGAAGTGGAACCCTAAATTTGAAATGGGGATAAGAGATCTTATTTGCTAATGGGGGCTGGGGTAGGGGAGAGAAGCTTCCAGGAGGGAATGGATCTAATTTGGAGTGGGAATGTTGAAGCCCCAGGAGGCTCCAATCCCTGTGGCTCCCGGACCCCCCACCCTCTGAGAGCAAACGAGCACCATCAGGAAGGAGGCCCTTCTGTTTGCTCCTCACCTCATTATGCAGCAACCTACCTAAACGATGATCTCAGAGGCCTCCCTCTGCTTTGCACTGACACACATGCGCGCGCGCGCGCGCACACACACACACACACACACACACACTCTGCTGTCTGCTGAAACCCGATATGAGGTCTTTTTTAAAATTTATTTCAAAGCCTCCCTCCCTCTCCCTCTCTTCACAGACGCTCTGCAGTGAAGCTAATCAAAATCAATGACTCCTTGGCAGCCGGAGAAAAGCGGGGGAGAGAGGGAGGGATGGTGCCAGCACTTTGCACACTGTGGAAATATTTTAAAAAAAAATACACCACCCCACTATCTCATGCAATCCAAGTAATGCAGCCTCAGAGACGGTGGAGACAATATAGACATATATATCATGCTTCAATTTCCTAATACAAATGTCCATCAAGAAGTCAAATCTCATATAAAAACAAGCATTAAAAACAACCCCTTGTCAAAAATCGGGGCAGTCGAGAAGTGCACTCAAATTAATGATGTGCAAGAAAAAAGCCGGGATTAGGTAAATACACAGTTTCTATTAATACAAGAGACTATGTACAAGGGACTTGGCTGTAAAGCTCCATCAGGAGGGTCATGGGTGCCCAGGTCTCTCAGCAGTGTGGCTTCATTGAAATCAAAATTGCCCCAAATACCAACCCCGGCATTTGGAGTTTGGATCCTCCAGTGGAAATGTCATGAGCTAGTAGGCAAGTCAGGGTTGAAAAAGGGATTCTCTGACCTTCCCCCGTTCCCCTGTGTCTAGATGGGCAGCATGGCCCCACTGCCACGTGGAAGGTACAGGCTTACAGCAGCAGAGAGCCGTGACCACATATCATTATAGGAATGGAAACCCCCTCCCCAGAAAATGGGGTGAGTTGGAAAGACTCTAGTGTCTGGCTTGGAAAGTGATGATACAGAAGCAGAGACTGTGTTTCGTATCATTCTAATTAATTTGCCTTCTCTAAGTTCGCGGCTTGGTGGGGATGTCGCGTGCTGCTCTGGGCAGACGCTGCCTGCACACCCATCCCCTGGAAACATAACGGTGGGGAGGGCTCCCTCGAGGAAAGGAAGCAAGTTCTCTATCAACAAGCTTTCCTTCTCAACAAGCTGTCTGGGGGTGGGGGTGGGGGGACCGCCCTCACCTGCAGCAGCTTTGGGTTACATTTTTCTTTAAAGGGCCATTTAGGAAAACATAAGGCATGGATAAAAGAAAGAAAGAAAGACAGCTCCCAGCTTGCAACAGCACTAAAAGGTCCTACATTCTAAAGGACCTGGTAATTTTCAACAAAGCCTGTGAGGAATAATTCAGCCCCATGTCAACCTTAACAACGGCTGATCCCCCTGCTGGCCTCTTAGAACTGCAAGGGTGTCTGCTAACCAGCCCAGTGGACCCCCTGTCTGTAGGGACTAGGTTGTGACCTGCATCCTGGTGCCCCACCATCTCAGCTTTGCACATGGCAGTGTGGGAGACACAGCACAGAGGAATAATACCTGGGTTTGTGTTTTTTTTTTTTTTTTTTAATGAAAGCAAAAAAATAATCATTGCTCCCTGAAGAGTCTTTGCAGCCAAGTCTCAGTCCAGCACACATCTTTTTTTAGCCCTTCTAGAAACTTCTGAAAATAGGAGCTTATCCTGGAAAACAAAATCAGATCCTCTGTCAGTCACTGAGATGCTGGTGCATTTCGGTTAAACGACCCACTCCCTCCCCCAGTGCCTCTTGCTTATAAATCACCCTTGACCAGAACGTAGCCATTTCTTGGCTCTTTAATCCATAAAACCTAAGCCCTGAAATCCCCTTGGGGAGTGGGGGAGGCTGTGGGCTGAACTCCCAGGACACTTTTGCGGGGGTAGAGGACAGAGCAGACAAGTCACATATGAGGTCAGCTTTCCACCTCGGTAGAAAGGCCTCCACCAGGGAGCCACTCAATAGCATCCCTTCCCTTCCTCCCTCCCAGGCCCCAAGGTTTGCTCCAAAACACCTCTGGGTTTTCATCCCCACAGAGAAAGAGAAGAGACTCTCAAGTGGCACTTTTGCGACTTGTCCCTTTTAAAAAAAATGAATCTGAAACAGCAAAATACACATCTCTCTTGTCCCCTGGCCTTGCAGTCTGGCCGCAGAACCCCATAGCAGTGCCAGCAAGAACACACTTAGCACCAGCAAAGTCTAAGTGAAGGACCAGACACCAGATTGGTAGGGAAATAAATCCCATCTGTCTTGATGTGCTAGCGGGACAGGCTATCTACCTGGGTAGGTACAGAGAGGCGGGGACTTGTCAAGACTTACAAACGGAGGAATCCCAGACTGCCTCTAACAGGGCTGCCCACCACCCGCCCCCCCCCCCCCATCCTCCTTACTTTCCTCTTTTCTTTCTATTTTGCCTTTTGCAATTTCCCCCTCGCTCCGCCAGCATCCCTCCCCAGGTGGTTGGTCGACTCTGGGGCTGATTCCCACCAGTCTTTGCAGATTTTCCAGGTACACAGTACGCACCTCACTTCTGGTGCCCCAGACACGGAAGCATCAAAGTTCACACGGGAAGGTGCAGAAAAGGGAGGGGACCGTGTCCTCGACAAGACATGCACTGAGTAGTAATATTCATATTTTCTTTTTTTATATATAGAGCTGTATGTAAATAGCATTGGGGTGTCTGTTTCTGCAGCTGGATATGCAAAGGGCTTCCCCAGTCCCTTTCCGCCGTTGCTACTATGGCTCCAGACGCCTCTCCACTTCCTTCTCGAAGCGCCAACTGCGGCCTTTCAAGCTCTGGGCTCCCCCTCAGGAAAATGGGAACCAGCTTTCTCCAAGGACACAGGGTTTTCACCAACCTGCAGAAATAAAGATTTGTATTTCGGTCAGTAGGCACGTGCAGACAGCTGCTGGGGATGACGTCAGTGCCTTGGGCCTCTGCACAGCCAGCCCGGGATGTTGGAAGGTGGAGGGGGATGGGAGAGAGCTGCGAGAGACAGAGCTTTGATTTGGAGGAAAGGTTCCCCCAGAAGCTAGATTTAGTGGCCATCCCCGCCCCCACCCCAGCCAAAGCCCCATCCATCCAGCCGCATTCCCTAAACAAACATTTGAAAACACACACACACACACACACACACACACACACACACACACACATTTCTGTTTTCAGACATAAGCATCTTCTGTGATTAAAAAAGAGAATATAGGGGCTCCTGGGTGGCTCAGTAGGTTAAGCATCCGACTTCAGCTTAGGTCATGATCTCACGGTTCACGAGTTCAAGCCCCGCATCAGGTTCTCTGCTGAGAGCTCAGAGGCTGGAGCCTGCTTCTGCTTGTGTCTCCCTCTCTCTCTCTGCCTCTTCCCCGCTCATGCTCCATCTCTCTCTCTGTCTCAAAAAAATAAATAAACATTTAAAAAAGAGAGAGAATACAGAACCATGCTGCCTTTTTTGCTCCTTCATCTATTCATTTCATAGACTCATATTCAAGGCAGACTTGTAGGACAGTCTCTATTCTCATTGATTCCTTTGTTCATTGCCAAACATACCAAGAACTATGCTAGGTGTTATAAATCCAGCGACATAGTTCTTGCCCTTCAGGGGCTCTGAAGCCACCAGAAAGAGATGAGAAGAAATCGGTATCAATGGCAGTGTCATGTGAAGCATAATCTGGATAAACACGAGCTAGGGGAGCCCAGAAGCGAAAGGGGGAGTCAGAGAGAGCTCTTGGGAGAAGGAGGCAGAGACCCTTACTGAGCACTGAAGGATGCTAGGGAATTAGCCAGGATGAGATGAGGCATTCCAGGAAGGGCCACGCAAATAGCACATACCCCAGAGAATCAAAAAACATTTTCATCCAAAAACTTGGGCATCAGTGTTCACCGCAGCATTATTCTTGATAGCCAAAAAGTGGAAACAACCCATGTGTCCATCAACCGATAAATACAGTGGGGCATTTCCATACAACAGAGTATTATTCAGCCATAAAAAGGACTCACACGAGACCTGGATGAACCTTGAGGTCATTATGCTAAATGAAAGAAGCCGGGCACAAAAGATCGCAGACTGTATGATGCCACGTATAGGACATGTCCACAAGGGACAAGTCTTTAGAGACAGAAGTAGGTTAGTGGGGGCCCAGGGCTGCGAGGAGGAGGAGGAGGGAATTAGGACATCACTACTACTGGGGACAGGGTTTGCGTTGGGGAAACAAAAACGTTCTAAGACCGATGGTGGGACTGGTTGCACAACTCTGGAGGTATAAACTAAAATAAAACCCACTGAGTTGTGCACTTCAAAAGGATGGATTTTTCTGGCAGGGGAATTATATCAGAAGAAGGAGGAAGAGGGAGTAGAGGAAGGGGACGGAGAGGTGGCCGAGAAGAAGGGAAGAAGCAGGACAAGGGAGAGAACACGGCAGCGAAATGCCCTGACGAGGTCAAGGCGCCTGATGAGGTTTCAGCACAGCCTGGGCGACGGGGCCGGGGAGGGGTGAGGCTGGAGAGTTAGCAGGGGCTGTAAGTTCACAGACGACAGCACCTTACTCAGTGCAAATCCAGCGGCATAGGAGACAAGGTGGGAGAGAGATCACTTTCTACGTTGGCAAGAACCTGGCATATTGCCCTGTGCGAACTGCACCCATAGGTTTTCCCGCTGGGTCTACTCAACAGAAGGCCCTAATGGGGTACAAGACCTGGGTATGTATTCCCCTGGCTCCTACCCTGTCGGGCCGCAGCGCCCGCTGGGCTCGGCTCCCCGGCTGGACTCCAGGTCCTAGTGCCTCACCTCAGCCCTTCAGGCCGGGAAGGACGGCTCTCCTCTGTGGCCAGCCCTGTAGTACTGCGTTACTCCTCCTCAGTTTCCTAAACCCTGTCTACACTCTGTCACCGAACCTTCACTAACTTCTTCTCTGGTTACCAGCCTGGGGGTACTCTCTGCCTCTTACTTGGACCCTTACCCAATATATATGTCTGCACGAACGAAGGGAGTCCTAATCCCATGGACCCGACAGTCTCCATTAGCGGACGGTCATCCAAATCAGTGACCTCAGCCCTTTTTGCCCCGACCTGCTCAGGTGGAGGCAGAGGACCCCTGTCACCATGAACGCCATTTCCCCTTTCATCCCATGAGGGCAGAGCACAGCAGGACTTCTGTACTACCGTGTTGCCACCCTATGCGTTCAGGGGATGCCGAATCAATCAGTCGTCCACCAACTCAGTTGATAAACACGCTCAATTCACAAAAGCTCGCTTTGTTGGCTCCTACTCACACCGATCTTCAAAAAATCAGTGAAACCTTGCAGCATTAGCTTAAGAGGATGACGCTGCCTTCAGCACGCACAGAAAAGAAGGACGGAGGGAGAGAGAGGAACCACATCTACATGCTACTGAGCGTGTTGACTTTCTGCTAAGCATCGTTCTGGGCACTAGATGAGGCCAGTACCTGTCCTCGATTTGCCTCCAGTCTTTTTCTGGGAGACAGGATATGTCAGAGGCCAGAACTGTGGAAGACCATTGTGTACCACTATCAGAAGTCAGGAAGTGGCTGTGCTCACCGGGAAAGCTTCCGAGCGGAAGCAAGATTTGAACTGGACCTTTAAGATATGCATTCATATTTTCTCAATAATTGGAAGAAGGAGGGCGCCCGGGTGGCTCAGTCGGTTAAGCGTCTGACTCTTGATTTTGGCTCAGGTCATGATCTCACGGTCGTGAGATCAAGCCCCATGTTGGGCTCCGTGCTGGGCATGAAGCCTGCCTGAGATTCTCTCTCCCTCTTCCTCTGCCCCTCCTCTGCTCGAAATCTCTCAAAAATAATACTAATTGGAAGAAGGAAGGATCATTTATGTGGGGAAAGGGCCAGAGCAGAGCACGAGGTCAAGACACATATGGCTCAGTCCGGGGACCATGATGAGCAGGGACCTGCACCCCAAAGCTGTGCAGAGTGAGGCTGCATAGATATGTCCACTGAAAGCGACGAAGGGAAAATAACAATGGCATCAGGAGAGGTAAGGAACCTCTGTTTTTACAGCACTAACCTGCTCCATCCACAGAAGGAATGGCATCTTCTTGCAAGACTAGGTAGGACCAGCAAAGGATTTTCGCTTTTCCTACCTGTAAATCATTAAGCCTATAATGTGTCTTCCTAAGGGCCTCCCGGCGCACTTAAAGGGACAAATTGCCACACCTGTTTATGTCCTGGTTGCAGGTTGGTGTCGGTAGTGACAGATGGACATCAGGAGGACGCCTCTGCGTGGCCAGTGGTGCCGTGTAACCACGTCCTACACCCAGAGAGGGGGCCTGTGCCTACACTTCTGGGGATTTTTTTTTTTTAATTTTTTTTTAACGCTTATTTATTTTTGAGACAGAGAGAGACAGAGCATGAATGGGGGAGGGTCAGAGAGAGAGGGAGACACAGAATCGGAAACAGGCTCCGGGCTCCGAGCTGTCAGCACAGAGCCCGACGCGGGGCTCGAACTCACGGGCCGTGAGATCATGACCTGAGCCGAAGTCGGCCGCTTAACCGACTGAGCCACGCAGGCGCCCCGACTTCTGGGGATCTTAAAGGGAACACGGTAGCCTAGGGACCTAGCTCACAGAAGTAGTCACCTAAATATGGTCAAGGGTGTTCCCTCCAGCTTGTCGCTAAGAGCAGCAGTTTGGAAACAACCCATATGTCCACCAGCAGGAGACTGGATAAATACATTAAGCTACATGCAAATGAGAAGGAGGTAGATCGATTCTTTTTTTTTTTTTTTTAATTTTTTTTAACGTTTATTTATTTTTGAGACAGAGAGAAACAGATCATGAACAGGGGAGGGGCAGAGAGAGAGGGAGACACAGAATCGGAAGCAGGCTCCAGGCTCTGAGCCATCAGCCCAGAGCCCCACACAGGGCTCGAACTCACGGACCGTGAGATCATGACCAGAGCTGAAGTCAGACGCGTAACCGACTGAGCCACCCAGGCGCCCCAATTCTTTTTTTTTTAATTTGTTTTGTTTATTTTTGAGAGAGACAGAGACAGAGACAGAGGGAGGGAGAGAGAGAGAGAGAGAAAGAGAGAGAGAAAGAGAGAATCCCAAGCACAAGGGGCTCAAACTCACAAAACCGCGAGATCATGACCCAAGCCAAAACTTAGAGTCAGACATTTAACCGACTGAGCCACCCAGGGGCCCCAAAGTATGTTACGATTCTTTTTTTTTGCTTTTTGTTTTTTAAATTTACATCCAAGTTAGTTAGCATATAGTGCAAGGATGGAGTAGATTCCTTAATGCCCTTTACCCATTAAGCCCCCCCCACC